TTGAAACCAGGTCTTCCACCTCTCAAATAAGAGTCCTAACCACTGGGCGCTGGGATGTTCTGGGGTGAGTCTCTCTATCTCACCTGTTGAAGACGTTCCAATGACTAATTAAGGATTTTATACCAAGTGGAGCAGGGGCTGGAGCTGGGGTCTCCCACATCCCAGTGAGTGCCGTAAGCACCAGACTATCGAATCAATCTTGCTCTCTCGTCCAGTGGATATTTAAGTATTTTATACAAAGTGGGGCAGCTTCCACAGGTGGGATTGAGACCCACCCAGCATACTCAATAGACCAGTAGGTAGAGCACTCCTCCGGGTGCAAGCCCCTGCTCTACAGAGTGGGGATTTAAAGCCAAGCTTCCCACACCCTAAGTGACTGCTCTAACCACAGGGCTATTGGGAAGAGAGGCAAAAGGACCAGCTTTTTATCCTCCTTTGTTTTTCTTAAGAAAGGGCTGGCCTGGCTCAGGCACCTGACTCCAGGAGGGGGTTCACAGCTGAGAATCCTGACTGGAGGGAGGTGCCGCCCTCCTGTTCAGAGTTAGGCACCTAACCCTTTTGAGGGGCAGGGCTTAGGCAACACCCAGTTCCTCAGCATTTTGCACTGGCTAGCCTAGGCCGTTCATTCTTCACATGCTGGATTCTATGAATCTCTTTGTTAGGGGACGAACTCTCCCCATGCAATGTACAGGGAGCCTGGGTGCCTAAGCCAGGGTTGTGAATTCCCATGGCGGCAGGGCACCTAAGTTCTCCTTGTGAATCCCACTCTCAGGAACTTTTGAAAATTTTACCCAAATTTAACATGTTTCCCACTAATGCCAGGAGTCTAAAGACTCAAAGACACAGCTATTGCTTTTCCTGGGCTTTGATCAGGCCCCTACTTAGAAGTGCTGGAAGTGTTCTAGAAGTGTGGGGTGGGGCCACCATTGCCCAAACTGTAGCCCCGCCCCCATTCCTTCCCTTCCCCCCAAGGTCCCGCCCCCACACTGTCTCTTCCCGAGGTCCTGCCCCCTGTTCACTCCTCTGCACCTCCTCACCGCCACTCACTCTTAAGGCAGGTAAAAAGTGATGGGGCCATGGCCTCCTTTCCCCCTCCTCCCATTCTGGTGCCCCTGCCCCTACTCCAAGCATTTTCCAATCTTTTCTTTCTACTGATCACTTTCGGAAAAAAGTTTCTCTCCTGTCACCCCAATCCCTCCATTCCTTGGCTCTTGAAATATCATATTCTCCATGCCATCAGGAAAGGGCTCCACAGACCACAGTGTGAGATCCACTGTCCATCCCTCTGCACTTGCAGGATTGTTCCTTAATATATTTCCAATCCATTAGCCAGTTTGGCATTAAATGTTTCAAGGATGGTAGCTTCCCCTGTTTCACTTGCAGTCACTGGTACTGCTTTGACTGGGAGGGTGCTCAAATTCTCAGTCTCAGCTAGGCTCAGACTATACACTGAGTGACTATGAAATATTGGACCATAGCTCACATGTCAGTGGCCTAATGAAATGTGAGGGATGCCACTGCAGCTTTTCCAAAGGGGTTCCATTAACATCAATATCATTGCTTAAGTCAGTTTGTCACCAAACACGTTTACCCCATAACACAAGGTGATATTTTTCTTTACCAGATCATTGCTCCTCCCGAGCGTAAGTACTCCGTCTGGATTGGTGGCTCTATTCTTGCCTCCCTGTCCACCTTCCAACAGATGTGGATCAGCAAACAGGAGTATGATGAAGCTGGTCCATCCATTGTTCACCGCAAATGCTTTTAATCTGCTTATCTGTATATGTATTTTTCAGCACATTGCTGTGAATGTATTCAGGAATAAATACGTTCTAATAATTTCATTCCAAAATCTTTCATAATAATGGCTCTAATTGGATACCATGTATTTTTTTGAATAAATAGTAAATATGTGTCTAGTAATCTCTTTTATTTTACAAAAGGGTGTGTGTGCTCTCTGGGAGGCTTCGGAACTGGTTTCATCTTCATTCAACAGTGGTAATGTCAGAATACACTTAAGTACCTGTCCCAGGCTTCTTCACATTTAGGCACCTAAATAGAAGACCTGATTTTCAGAGATGCTGAGTAGCCCCAAGTAGAGCCATCAATTTGGTGTCATCACAACAAGTTGTAGCTGTTAGTATTATTGATTGATACACACAGGCTTTGTGTGGGGCTGACCCATTCTTTTAGCATCAGGGGTGTGCGTGTGTGTCAGCCAATGCAGGGGCATTGCTCAGAAAGGTATTGTCAAGGTATTGTCTTCTCTACTGGAGCCAAGCAGCCTATTTCTGAAGTGTCTAAGCTGTGGCAATCAGGGTGAACTGGGGCTTCAGTTCAGACCAGGTCGCTAGGTGGCTGGACTGACTTCAGCAATATTATTTTAGTGCTGTGAGTTTTGGCTACCTCTAGAACAACCAATATAGGTTAATCACCTAACATTTCCTTGGGATCACAATCAGAACAGCTAAAATGATTGATAGTTCTCGGTTTCCTTTTGGTGAATTTTATTTGCAGCTGATTTTTGACCATTGTTTTAGATAATGAAATAAATGTTTAACAATTTTATTCTCACTAGATCTGAGGAAGCTCAAGCCTGAGTCAATGAAAGTGCTGTCAGGAAAGTGCATATGCAGTGATATGATAGCTGTGTCAGTCCCAGGCTATTAGTAAGACAAGGTGGGTGAGGTGTGGCTTTTATTGGCCCACCTTCTGTTGGGGAGCAAGAGAGCCTTCTAAACTTATCAGAGCTTGTCTTCAGGTCAGTAGTCTGTGTAAGCTCACAAGCATGTCACTCTCACCAACACAAGTTGGTCCAATAAAAGACAGTACCGCCGCAACCTTGTCTCTGGAAAGTACATACTGAGTTTGTCAGAGATTCGTGAATACATTTCTCAGCAATTTCCAGGGAGCAGCTATAACTGTGCCTTACAACGAAGTTGGGAACAATAACTACATAACACGCATCCCATCAAGGGCATGTCTTTCTTTGTTTTGTTTTTTTTGCAAAGACCATCTTTAGCCGAACAGATCCGTGGCATGCACTGAGTGACTAACTCTCTCTCTCTCTCATGGATTCAGATTACTTTTTATTTTTGCTACCCTACATGCCCCCTCCCTCACCTGACCTACTTGTTAGTCTCTGTAGCCTAAGAGGTGGAAATCTAAAAATCAAGACCTAGCTGGGACAGGGGCTGTCACTATGTGCACAATGGGCTCTGTCATAAGGCAGGCCATGCTGGATTCCCCCCTTGGTGTGACACCACAGACAAGTATTGCCTTGATTTCCCCACACCTGGGGTATAAAAACCCTTAAATTACATAAGTGCTCCCTTTTGGAGGGTCTCACTGATTAATAGAGAGTCCATTTTACACGGTTGCTGGGAGACTGCAGCAGTCTTAATTCTGTCTGTCACACATGAGTCCACTGTGCTCCTCTCTCCAGGCTCTGCCCCATCTGGTGTCCCTTGACTCAAGCCTTTGCCCCAGGAGGAAGGTCTGTACGTGGGTAGAGGCCTTCATTGGAGTCAGGGATCTGTGGTGGACTGTCAATATCTGCTGTTCCCTGTGGCAGCATCTCTAAGCTTCCTGACACTGTCTAAGGGACAGGGGCGGCTCTATGTTTTTTGCTGCCCCAAGCACGGCAGGCAGGCGGCTTTGGGCGGTGCGCCTGCGGGAGGTCCACCAGTGCCGCACCATCGGTGTCCCCACTGCCGAATTGCCGCGGGACCAGCAGACCTCCCACAGGAATGCCGCCGAAAGCCGCCTGGCTGCCGCCTACACAGCAACCGGCAGGCCTCCGCCCGCGGCTTGCCGCCCAGGAGCATAGCTGGGGGGAGCAGGGGGAGTGGCTGCTCCCCCACTGAGCATATTCACCAAAGGTGGAGCCTTGCTGCCGCTCCGGGGCTGGAGGGAATGCTCACGGGGAAAGCCCAGCACAGCCCAGCTCCCCAGTCCCCACCCTGAGACCCCACCCAGCTCACCTCCGCCTCCTCCCCTGAGCACCACGTTCTGCTTCTCCCCTGCCCTGGCTCCCTACGCTTGTCCTGCAAAACGGATTGGCGGCAAGCCTGGGGGGGGGGGAGGAGGGGGAACACGGCGTGCTGGGGAAGAGGCGGGGATTTGGGGAGGAGACCAATAGGGGCAGGGAGGGGGCAGAGTTGGGCAGGGCAGAGATTTGGGAAGGGGTCCAATAGGGGCAGGGAGGGGGCAGAGTCGGGGCAGGGCAGGGTTGTTCTTTGGCGGCAGACCCTTGACTCGCTCCAGGTCTTTGGCGGCACATTGGTGGCGGGCCCTGCAGACCCATCAAAGACCCAGTAGGGAACCGCCCAGTGAGTACAAGCCCCCTGCTCCCCCTCAGAACCCGCAACCCATCAACCCCTCACCCCCTTGTCCCCTGACCACTCCCTCCCGAGACCCCCCAAGATTGCACCCTCTACCCAACCCCCCCGATCCCCTGACCGCCCACCCTAGAACCTCGCCCCCTCCAACCGCTCCCTGTCCCTTATCCAACCCCTCCTCCCAGCCCGGCCCAGCCCAGCCCCCTTACCATGCTGCTCAGGGCAGCGTGTATGGCTGCCACACAGCCCACTGGCGCTTGCAGCCCCATCCCCTTACCATGCTGTTCAAAGTGGAAGGAGCTGCAGAGCTGCCCAGGAGTGGACCAGAGCACTGGCGGCGCGGCATGCTGAGGCTCTGCGAGAGGGGGGGAAGGTAGGGGAGCCTCCCCAGCTGGGAGCTCAGGCGGGCCGGATGTGGCCCACGGGCCGGCGTAACACACAAAAACCTCCCTCTCCCAATTGCCCACCCCTTTAACAACCGGTTCTAAACCAGCTTCTAAATTTAACAACCAGTTTAGGCGAACCGGCTCCAGCTCACCACTGGATACTGCCTGTGGAAGGCCAGGGTTAGAGAATACCATTGTTGAAAAATCTGTTGCACAGAAAATACCTGATGACAAGGACCTTGACCTCAACAGCACTGTACATGTTTTACCAGTGTTGTTGTTTGAAGCTCACTTTATTGTTGTATCGTGTTATTCAGATACATGTACAGCTTTTGTTTTAATTCACTGTGAACTCTGTCTTGACAGAACAAAATAACTTGAAAATGGCAAGAGCAATAAATATCAAACCATTAAATCTAAAATGTATAAATATAAAACATCAGTAATTGCTGAAAAACATCATTGGAAAATCCAGCAGCCATTTTTCTACTTGGGGCATCTGTTTGGTAGGCCATTTATCTTCCATCAGCATCACCTCAGATCCAGCACAATTATTTTTGTTTCTGTCCCAACTACATGTTTACAGGTCTGTAAAAGAAATCAACCCATTATTCACTGACAGCAGCCAATGAAGGTAATATATCATTTGAATGTCAGGCAAAATTGCATGAGCACCAGGTCCAGTTCCAAACCAAATCATAAAAGAGCTATTTCATATCCTGTATGTTCTTTCTGCTTTCTTCTCAGTGACAGCTACAAAAAAGTTCCTTCAGTGTTCCCAGTACTTTCTAAGGTGCTGAGTAACAGCTCTGGATACCAACACTCTCTATTTAGCAATAGAACAGTAAGCCACTGGCAGTGGCACTGCAAGTTCTCTCATACTACTCTGCCAATGTTCCTCACCCCTGACCAGCTCTACCACCATGGCAAAACGGGTAGTTCTGACGTTATTTGTATTCACATGGTGATGCCTTTGCTGAAACTGCTAATAAGGGTCAACCAGTGTTGTCAGCATGGTTTTGGAGGCTTGCCGTATCCACAGACCTAAAACCCACAAATCGTTTCATATAGGCCACAAGCACCCATTAGATGGCAGCCACTTTTGTTCACTACCAAACTGGGCTGGACTCCAATGAGATATGTGGTTTGGGGCTTCCTCTTAAGTTTTGAGCCTGTTTTATTTAGGCACAAGTTTTATTGGCTCCCAGGTTTGCCTGTTAACATGTACAGGGTTAACTTTGCAAGCATGGACTGAAAGTTTAACAGAAAAGTGACTATAGCTGCAAAACTCGCCATGTGTTCTTTAAAGAGAACAGTGCTGAAGGGTTAGATTTTTGCCACAGGCTATCACTCTTGTGCTCTCAGTTCTGTATCTGACTAGGCTGCCTGTAGCTTGGCTGGATATGCAGGGAAAAGGGGGAGCTGGGTGCTCACTACTCCTCATCTGGGACAGGTGGGCAGAGCCTAAACTATACTCCCGCCCCAGTAATGCACCAGCCAGCCAAACTGAGCTAGTTTCAGATATGTCAGAATTTTCAGCTGATATAAGGTCAGCTGCCATTTGCTACTCCGATGGGGGAAGCAGAGACGGACCTGTGCCTTTTGGGGGGTATTTGAGGCAAAATGCCTCTGGAGTTTTCTCTTACCCCCTACAGTTCACTCAAGATTGTGCTTAAAGATATAATCTAGCCCTAAATGATTGAATATGTTTGGAAACAGCCAAACACTGTTGGCCATAAACTGGCTTCAAAACATAACCATTATGTTCTGGTTCAAGAGAGTGTGACACTGGCAAACTAGGTGCCAGCTCATGCCATGGCCCCATAGGTCTCAGTGAACACTGACAAATGCATAGCAGGAAAGCAGTCCTGTTCACCTGTGTGTTAGTACGGTTAAAATATGTGTAGATTTAAAAAAAAATGTGTTTAGGCTCTATGAAATGCGTGTAAGTAGCTGCCTGCATTCATCTCACACACACTATCTGTAGTCCATGTTTAAGGTAATATTTAAATGTTTGCTTTGTAACTATAGAAGCAATTGCAATGGAACTGCAAACCCCCATAGGCAGAAGAGGAGAATTAACAAGTGTGAAATACTAGTTCATCACAAGAGGTGTCATCTTCTGTCCCGCAAAAGGCAGCCCATAGACACCAGCTGAACCATTGTGCAACATCAGTGGAGAAGAGATTGTGGGTTGCTCCCCTCTACACCCATGAAGAGGAGGCATGCATGAGCACAGCCCATCAGATTGAATTCTGGGGAAGGGGAATAAAATCCCTGTCAAGAAGAAGTTATCTTGATTCTGCTTGAACTATGAAGGGCAAAGATTTTTAATGTAAGCAAGAGTGGCCCAGTTCTTGGCCTGGATTAGCCCTAAATGACATAGCTTACAGCAGCTTTTCTTCCCCTTCTGGAACCTAAGACTAACTCATTTATGTGCATATGTTTACCTGCTTTAACCTTGTAAAAAACATTTCTTTTTCCTAGTTAATAAATATTTGGTTAATTTATTATAGGATTGGCTACACGCATTGTCTTTGGTATAGGATCATTAGTGCAGTTGACTTGGGATAACCTGAATGTTGTTATTTTTGGTGTAAGGGACCATCTCTCACAAAGGAAAGCTTACCTGAGCGGCAGGACAGATTGGAGTACCCAAAGGGACTGTCTGTGACTCCATGTTAAGGCCTGAAACATTCACACTTGATCCTTGGCTGGTGAAATCTAAGTATAGAACTCTCAACCAATTTCTGATGTGTGCCCTGCTTCTTAACAGTTTGTCCTGAGGTTGGTACTCATGCTCCTGAACCACTCTAGGCAGCTTGACAGGAGGATTTTGTAATGTTATACATCAGCTTTAATACTTGTGAGTCAAAGGAGAAGGCTAAACCAGCAGAGGCACCCACAATGGAAGACAGAGACTTGAAACATAGGACAGACTTGTAACACTGGAAGACAATTTATAAGATGACAGGGTGAGCTACGTTGGTCTCTGTGGGAAACGTAATATCTCCGTGCTTTGTGATAGCAGTTGTGTACTTGGTGCCTTGCACAGAGAAGGAAGTGAGCTACGTAGCCTGGGATTGTCTTTTCAAAATATGGTTGTAATGTTCAGGAGCAAGAGCCAGTGTAACAAGAGCCAAAACAACCTGGGGTGGGATTTTCAAACATGTTCAGCATTCGCCTAACTCTAGTCTCATGGGAATTAATGGGAAAACTACCATTAACGTCAACAGGGGCAGAGTTAGACTCATGGTCAACTTTGAAAATCCCACCCCAAAGGAAACTAGAGCTTGGGTTCCAGCATTTGTATTCCACTTCCACTCCCCAAGGGAGAGGCTGTACCTCTATGTGCAGTAAGTCTGTGCTCTTATTTATCAATTCTGGCTAACACTCCGGTAGCCCTGTTTCCATATTTGGGAACTCTGCCAAGAGAAGGAATATTCCCTTTATTTCAAACAACGGAATGACATTTCTGATAATCATTAATGACTATTTAACTGTTCAGTCACAGATTCTCATTATAAACCCTTTAGCCATGTAAAGAGCACATTAGAATCTTTGACCACCCAACGAACTGGAAAACTACTTTGTGGTTACTGGAATGGCTTCTGAAAGGCTGGTGGAAAGGGTGAAAGGAAGCAGAGGTTCAATAGAGAAAATTATCCTTCATGATGGCTGTTAGCTCTGCAGGCTTACTGGACATCACAGCTGGGGAAGTCAGTTGTGATTCTTTGTTAGGAAAAGAATCTCTTAAGTGATCATGGAAAACTTCTGTGGGAATTCTCTGGCCCTTTTCCTCTTGGCATGGGACTACTGACCAGCTGTTAAGAAGGACAACAGGAGTATATTTTCCATGCTTAGGGAGCACTCAGACATCCTAATGTGGGAAAGCTTCTTTTCTGGCTGATATTATATTTCTCAAGTTAGGCAGAGAGCTGTTCGTAACATTTACTGGTTACTGCCTCTCAAGTAGTGATAAGAAGTGTAATCTTTGTTTTACACAGAAATACTCTCAATAACCAAATTAATTTCTTTAGGTTTGGCTCTCTGCTGTAGTTACAGATAAATTAGTTTAGTGGGGAACTGAGAGTCATAGAATGAAAGACTTTATTTAAAATAGAATAGTTGGTTAAAGCAAACAGGAATTACTACGAAACTATACACTGCAGTTATATTCACATTCCAAGCTGAAAGAGTTCATCTAGGGGCGATCAGTCCCTGGATAAGAAGAATGGGTGTATAATCCTTCCATTAACTGTACCATGATGGTAAATGAGTGCGCTAGTTTAAAAGTTAGTGTGATACCCTTTTTTATAATCAATTAATTAGTATTAAACCTGCCTTTTACCATATCTATATTTCTACTAATTAATTAAAATACCTTCTATTCTCTATGGGCTATTTAATATTAAACAGTATTAACGTCTGCATAAATGCCATTCCAATAACTATCACTGTAGATAATATGCTTCCAAAACATTCACATTACATCCAAAACTCTTGTTAAAACCAGTTAGAACCAAAGATATCAAAGAAACAGGAATTAATTCTGGGAAGTGCTATGGCCTATATTATACAGGAAGTCACACTAGATGATTACAATGATCACATCTTTGACTTTTTTTTTTGGAATATGTTAAGAATATTTTTTAAGTAATATACCTACATTAAATAGTCTAGGTTCCTTAGTATGTGGGTGAAACCCCTTCTTTTTACAAGCAGAAACTTCAAGCATGCCAGCATTAGTAAGTCTGAAGATCCCAGTGCTGGAAAGCAAAGAACAAAACTGACTTAAGGTTTGTAGCATTAAAAGAACTTGGTTCAAATAAGCATTAGTCCATCAAACACAAGTTACTGGGTTCAATACAGAGTAAGTGGGTGAAATTTAATGGTCTCTGATGTACAGGAAATCAGATAAGATAATAAAATGGTCCTTTCTGGCATTAAAAGCTATGAGTCTATGAAGCAGAAAATATCCTGCCAGATACAGCTGATCTATAGTCTGCTTTGAGTCTTTATTACTAGTAAAAAAGAAATTCTACAAGAACAACGAGCCACCTGACTACAAATCAATTCACTTTGATTAATTTTCCTAAAACTGAATAAAAAATAGAACATCAGAAATACAAGTGGAGGGGCTGGTCCTATATAAACTCTTACTCAAGGATTAGTCCCGACTTACATGAGTAGTCCCACTGAAGTCAGCAACTACTCAGGTGAGGAAAGGCTACTCCTTTGAGTACTGAGTTAGAAAGATTGTTACAGAAGGCTTTGGACCCATCGTTTCACATTTGATGTACAAACTTTTGCTGAAGACTATTACTTTTGTAAGTCTGACGAGAATAATGAAAGACCAATTCTTATCCCCTGCCCAAAGCCCATGAAGATCGGCCCTTCTACATGTACTGGAGGGGCAGGGAAAGGGGGAGAAACAGAATCCCGTCTACCCTCCACTACCCAGGTCATGGCACAGCCATGTTACAGGTTGTTACTGCCACTTCTAGACCGCAGGAGCCGTCATAGCCAGCAATGCTTTTTGTATGGGGCAATTTTGCACAGGGGTTCCAGAGAGCTATATCTTTGCCACATGTAGGGGGTATATGGAGACAGAATGTGTATGCTGGCTGTCTTCCTTTAGCTGTGATGAGTTAAGATAACATGCAGCTCCTGGGTAAAACTGCATTGCTAGTGATTACATACATGTGCTTTTTTATCATGGTCACACTTTAAGATTCTATTTCTAAATTGTTTGTAAAGGGTTAATAACAGATTAATCAATGTTACAGACATAAGTAAGACATGCAATAGATGTTACAAGCATAGCAGTAGAAGGTATTATAGATGTTTATAAGCCATTGACCTGCTCCATATGTCCATTTTTAAAAGCATGTAGGCATTGTTCCACTCAGCATTTCCTAAGGGTTAGATTCACAAGAGGGACATAGGTTCCTATAGAGGAAGTTAGGTACCTAAGTTGAACATTTAGGTGCCACTGGCATTCACAAAACCACCACTGACCTGAAGGCACCTTCATTTCTGCTGGTAGGCATGAGCCAAGCCTCCTAAATCCTGAAGCCACCCCACAGCTCACAAGCTGCTCATGCCTGAGCCCTGGCTGGTGGGATTCTCAAACTAGGTGTTTCCCTGCCTATCTCACTTGCAAGGTGGTGTGCTACAATATACTCAACCTGCACAAAAGACAGCCAGGAATTTTCAGGGCTGGCTGGCGTACATGGGTGCCCCAGAATACCTCATAGCCCAGAGGTTAGGTTACTCCCCTGGGATGTGGGAGACCCAGGTTGCAATCCCCACTCTGTCTGATTTGGAGCAGGAACTTGAACCCAGCTCTCCCACCTCAGAAGTGAGTGCCCTAAACTTCACATTATTCTGAGGCAGATATCACTCAATGGCTCCTGTTGGAGCTGTTACACTTTGTATAAATAATTACATATTTATTGGAGCAGGGACTTGAAATTGACTGACCAACATCCCAGGTGTGTGCCCCAATCATTGGGATATATAGTCTCAGTCTCTTGCACTCATGCTGCCTCTAAAGGGGACCTGGAATACCAAATAACTTGGTTAGGACATGCACCTGGAACATGGGAGACCTACTCGACATCAGGCAGAGCAGGGATTAGAAAACAGGTCTCCCACATTCCAAGTGAACACCCTAGCCCCTGGGGATGAACTATCATCAGCGGGGGTAGGAATGTTCATTACTCTTGTTTTTGCTAGAAAAGGCTGACCGTTCTTGGGCATCTAACTCCAGGAGAGGGGTCAAGCCTGTGAAGCTGGAGCACAGACAGGAGCCTCTGGCACCCAAGGGTACATATACTCTGCAGTTAGCCACCTGCGGCTGGCCTGTGCCAGCTGACTCAGGCTCCTGGAGCTCGGGCTAAGGGGCTGTTTAATTGTGGTGTAGAAGTTCGGGCTCGGGCTACAGCCCAGGCTCTAGGAACCTGTGAGGTAGGAGAGTCCCAGAGCCTGGGCTGCAGCCTGAGCACAAACATCTACACTGTACTTAAACAGCCTCTTAGCACAAGCCCTGCTGGCACAGGCCAGCTGCGGGTGGATCTGGGCCCTGCCCCTGCCCCTTCTTTTGTATTTCACTCCTGGGTGTCTTAGGTGGCTCCCAGCTCAGTTTGCTGGCTTCTGAGAATCCCTTCCTTAATGCCTAATTCGCCCCCTGGGGAGCCTGGATATCCAACTTGGGTGTGTGAATTCCACTAGGGGGCCAGGCACCATGGAATTACATATTGCAACACTCAGCATTGCAATGCCTAAGCCCCTTGTGAATCCAGACCTTAGGCCTTGTAACGCTGAGAGGAGCAATGCTAACATACCTTTACAAATTTGGCCTGTAACAAATGTACCTTTAAACCGCTTTTAGTCATGTATTTGTACTTTATAAACCATTGGTAAAACAGAACCTTAATATAAAGTGTAACTTATCTCTAACCTCCCATCACTTCAGTGTTTTTAATTAACAAGCTAAAAAACCTACACCATCCACCTTCTTCACTAAGGAGAGTGCAGTTTGGATTCTGTGAGACACCTGACAAGGAGATCCATAAGGTCTAGAACTACCATAGTCCTATGCGGTTACTCCTATCAAGTGGAGTGGAGCGTCACCATTTACAGAATTTTAAAATGAAATAGGAGACAAAGTGAAGTCAAATAACATTGCACACACAGGCTCACTGGAATGCAAGCCTAGATCAATTTAGAACACAAGGAGAAAAAAAACCACACATATATACTACAACCTTTTATCTCCTTCACCTTAGTTGACATTCAGATGCTGTTTTGCAGGTGATCTAGTTTTGAGATAGCTAAACATTACTTAGAAAAAACAGAACTCACTCATTATGTTTTGGTGAACAAACAATTGCAATAGCCTCTGGCAACATTAGCTGATAAGAACAATGAGTATGAAGATCAACACTGGATAAGAATGCAGTTTGTGTTGGATGCGTCTACAAAAAGAAAGGGAAAGCTCTGCATAGTGAAAGTATTTCTTAGTCAAGTCAAGGTCAAAAATCCATTCAAGAAGAAACAGGATTTTGTAACAAGAGAAAGTGTTAGCATTTCCCCCAGATTCAGTTTTTATTATTTGCTACTAAACCTTAACTTTGCCATGGCACAACACACCTCTGAGGATAATTTTCATGAATGACTCAGCAATGCAAAGCTAAATGCTAGTGTCAGGAGTAAATCCCTAATACCATGTGTATGAAGGCTTACCAAACAATTTTAAACTCTTCTGATTATCAGATTAATGTTCTTATGAAAGGAAACAAATCTAGATTGAAAAGGCATGTGTGAATATAACAAGATGGCAGACAGAGAGCAAAGGACTTAAATTAATTGTCCAAAATTCCTATAAGTGGGATCATACACCAACCATATCAAGTAGAAAGTAAAAATTAGAACATAATTGAAAGTAACTGTCATTAGAAGGTAAAAAGTGAATCAACACCTATAAGAAAATGGAAGCCTGAAGCAGGTTGAAATTTTACATGGTGTTCACATTACATCACTGTCTTTGGTTCCAATGCAAACATGGATTTAATATGAAATTGACAGAGCTGGTGGCTCCAGTAAACCATTTTCCTGTCCCATGAAAATTTTCAAGTTTAAAAAAAAAAAAATACCTGACCCAAATCAGGACCAAAAATTGAAATCTCAAAAATGTTTGAGAACTGAAAGTCACCAAAATTATTCAGTTCAGTTCAATTGAAATGTTTTGTTTTGATATTTCAAAATGTTTTGTTTCCGTTTAACAATTTTACACTATAAATTAAAAATTTTAAACAAAAAGTTACTCCAAAAGGAAAAATTGAACTTTTCTTAGAAAAAGTCAAAGTGGGATGTTTCAAAAACTTCTAAAAACTTTGATTTAATTTTTTTTCAAAATTGGAAATTCATCAGAACCGACCATTCCCCAAAAAGTTTCAGTTTTGACAAATCAGCATTTTCCGATAACAAAATAGTATAGTAAAAAAATTCCAGAGTGGCTATCAAATTGGTGATTTATACATCTGGAGTGCGTTTCTGATCTCAGATGCTATGGCTTTCAGAGGAGCTATTCCTGATTTACAGTGGTATAGGTGAGATCAGAATCAGGCCCCTGAACTCCAAAGAAGTCAGGCATTACTTCACCATTTATGATCTTAGTCATTAATGCACTAAGTCTTGGAAGTTCACTTTTGAGTTGATTTACTCATTTCCACAGATATTTATGTTTAATGTTTCATTTTAAAATTTCATGGACTACAAGATTAGCCAAATTTGCAATAGAAAAAAAAATCTAAGAGATATTCTAACAAAACAGAGCCTCAAGTTTCTTTTGCATGCAGGTTTCTTTTTGTCACGTTTGCTATCTTAAAAAAAAATCTTCTTCACTATTGATTTTTAAAAAAAATTATATAACATACTCAGTGAAGTACTCTACTTTTTAATATTTATTTCACAACTCGTCCTTCTCACCATGCCTGGAATAAACTCCCAATGCTCAAAACTGCTTGATCCAAACTCTGCAGTTTGAAAACCTGCAAGTAATGGTTTTAGAAACAGGGTGTATCTAACACAAATAGGCCAAATTCTGCACTGAATTCTATCTTGTATACATTAGGATTTTAAATGGCTGTCCTCACCGTAGCAGCTGAGTGAATTCCATATAAAATCAATAGCAAAGTCCTAGGGGACTTTATGAAGTCTCGGTCTCTTTTCCTTTTTGAGGATACATGTCAGACATGTAAATGGTATTGAATGAGGTGTATGCAAGACAGAATTTTGGGCCAAATTCTGCCAACAGACAGACAGCTCCTATTGTCTTAAATAGAAGCTGCACAGGCAAAACTGGGCCCACTGTATCAATGAAACACTTTACAGGTTCCTAGAAATAATGAACAGCTTGTATCAGTGGATGACATTTATGTCAAATCAGGTCATCAGCACAAACACTGAGAGAGAAAATTAGTTTAAATCATGCAAATTATTTCTTTAAACTGGGGTTTCCAGTGCTGGTTCTGTATATCCTATCTAGCCAATACAGAGAAGTCAACATCCACAAGGCATACGTACATGGATCCACCCCAAAGTGAGGAGATTGTGTTGATCCTGAATGCTGAATAATTCTTCCACATTCTCCATGTCGCAGTAATCCGGTCCTGCAGACTGCTTTGGCACTATTACATGGGTAATAGTAAATTCATTATGTGTCTGTAAAACACATGGTAGGAAGATGACTTGAATTAATGGTCTTCTAATGAACAAATGCTGAACATGAATCGGAGGAGAAAAGGGTCAGATCCTCAGCTGCTATAAGTTGCAGTAGCTCCACTGAGTTTAATTAAACTATGCCAGTTTACACCAGCTAAGAACCTGGCCAGTATTTCATCACAGCAATAGACAGAGAAGCAATAAACATATTTGAAATGGGTATACACAGAAAAATGTTAAAAGGAGAGATGATGTCTGTTAAGAATGAAAGCAAGAGAGTTAAAAATACAATTACTTTCTTTGAAGCTTGGAAACACAACATGCTTCCCTGTTTTTATTATTCTTGGTTTTTGTGTGTGTCTAATGCACGTTGAACTTCTTTGTACTTGCCTGTCTGTGCACCAGCATCAGTGGTGCTATCCCCCCTGCTCTGGGAACAATCTGATAATTAAGTTCTGCTGCAAAGTTAGCTAATTGACCACTAAACATTATCTAAGATATCGGAAAAAACAAACAGCAGTGATTTTTGTTTTATGTGGATTTTTTTTAGAATTTGATAACACCCACCAATAGCTTCTAACATTTTTAATATCCAGTTTTCCTGTAACTAAACCTCATTTTGTTTGATGAATACCAAGGAATGTTCTTGAAAAATCCTACAGTGGAGGTTAATTGTACAGCTTAACAACAGTACATGACCACAATAACTATGGAGAGTTAAGATCAAATAGGTCTGTAATAATGCAAACAGCAGACCACAATTCAATAAAATAATCTTGTGGATCCGTAAGATTATTTTATAAAGATAATTACATTACACACGGAGGGCTTGTCTCTACTACTGCTTAAGTCAATGTATGTTATGTCACTCAGGGGTGTGAAAAAAGCCACCCACCTGAGCGACACTCTCCTACCAACACAGATTCCACCTCTCGTTGAGGGGGAATAATTATGCCGATGGGAGAGCGCTCTCCCGTCGACATAGCGTATCTTCACCAGACGTGCTACAGCAGTGCAGTTGCATCGATGCAGCTGTGCCAATGTGGCACGGTAGTGTAGACTAGCCCTTACACTTCAGATCTGCTTTTGCTTTGATATCAGTTAATTACAGGAAAATACAGTACTATCAAAAGTGCCTTCCCCATACAAATGTGAAGGTTCAACTGTACCAGTTTTCCACAGAGAATTCCACATGTCTCTATTCCTCTTACTGTATTTGCCTCCGCTAGCAGCAGAAATTTGTGACAAAGATCTGTGGGTAAAACTACACCTCGGAGTGCTTCAGTCACTTGATCTAATAAACAAGGAGAAAGGGTATTTATAATTTAGTCTTCAGTGCAAAATTTTCTAAGGTAACAGGTTTACACAGTTAAAGATCAACTGAACTGAGATACATAGGGAGTGCCATACTTGCCACAAAGAAGTTTTGGTTCAGAATAATATAGAACTTTACAGAGCATAACCTTTCTTCTATTAGATGAACATCAAAGAATACAAAATGTTAACTGGCTTGCATTCACTAAGGGTAGGTCTACACTACCCGGTAGTTCGGCGGCAAGCAAATCGAACTTCTGGGTTCGACTTATCGCGTCTTGTCTGGACGAGATAAGTCGAACCCGGAAGTGCTCGCCGTCAACTGCGGTACTCCAGCTCGGCAAGAGGAGTACCGCGAAGTCAACGGGGGAGCCTGCCTGCCGCGTCTGGACCGAGGTAAGTTCGAACTAAGGTACTTCGAACTTCAGCGCGTACCTTAGTTCGAATTGGGGGGTTAGTGTAGACCAGTGAACTAGCACTATTTCCTGGTCCAAATTCGGAAGCACTCTAAAAATGCAATCACAGTGGACCTGGTCCTGCTCCCACGGAGTTAATGGCAAAATTCCCATTTAATTCAATGGAAGCAATTGGGCCTGATGTCTGCAGGCCTAGCTATTGGAACTTGTAGGTGTGAAATGGGTAATCTCAGATGTACATATCCATTTTAGGTGAGAAAACAAAGGGTAATGCACAGACACACAAATATTCCAGGAACATTTGGTCCTCCATGTCAGAGAAAGCTACAATGAAATAAACACATGCAGGTCGATATCATATAGTATGTTAGGAGAGGAAGAGGAGCATTACAGCCCAACTGAACACTTACTCTGAACAGTGCTTAAAGTGGCTGCTGGCTTTAAGGCCTGGTTTACTGGAGGAGACTGTCCAGCAGAAACAGAGGCATCACTCTTACTGGCTTTCCCAGAAAATGTGGTAGATACGGAGTTATTCTGATGCATAGAAATGCAAGACAACACACTTCCATCAGTCTGTTCAGACATAACCATATTCTCTTTAATTTTCTGATCTCGGGCTAGTTCTTGCTTCTTAAGCTGATCTTCAAAGAACTGAAACTGCTCTGTTTCAAGCTGCTGTTGTCGCATCTGCGCAATTCTCTTCTTTTCTGCTTCTATCAACCTCTGCTGCTCCAGTTTCTTTAAGAATTCAGCTTTACATTTGTTCTGCAGCGTATGTAAATAAAGTGGTCAGATCTTTTAGACAAAGTTAAAAGCGTCACAAAATAGTGAGGGGAAAGCTAACAAACTGATTAACTAGTTATTATCAGACAATAACGACACTGTTTGGAATACATTAGCCACACTGCCCAGTACAATTGTGCCCACAGAAGTGCTCTAAAATAATAAACATGATGTACTTAGGGATAGAGGACAGAGATCTCCCATTCTGCACACCCCTGATACATTATGCATTTACCTCAAATAGTATTTGCCATTGACCCACTTATATTCTAGCAGAAATAATTACAGTCTAAAAAAAGTCATTTTTGAATAGGGGGGTTAGGGGAGGAGGCACAAACAAGCCTTTATCATCAAGGACACATTTATCTTCAGGTGGATTTCACAGCACAGTTCTCTCTCTGGCACCTTCTCCTGCCCTTTTCCTTTCTTCACCTCAATTTCCCTTGGACTGCTTCCATGAAACCTAGGGTATGTCTACACTTAAACCACTGCACAGACAGTCACTACAATGAAAGGGGGGTTCTCCCATCGCTGTAGTTAATCCACCTCCCCGAGAGGCAGTTGCTACGTTGAAGGAAGAATTCTTCCATTGACTAGTACTGTCTACACCAGGTGATAGGTCGTCATAGCTACGTCTCTCGGGGGTGTGGAGCTATGCCAATGTAAGTTTTCAATGGAGATCAACCCTTAACCTTGCATTGTATGGATTTTTCCACATTACTTATTGTTCTGTCTTGGTCAGTAGGTCTTCACTGTACTCGCATCTCCCTCCAGCTGCCCAACACCAACTGCTATTCCACAAACTGCAGGGAACCTTCAGGTTCCAACATTCCTTCCCCACTTCTGTTAAAGAGATAGCAACACAAACTTTCAGAAGCAAGTTAAAATATAGATACTTAAATCAATAACCAAGAAACAAAACAAAATAAAACCTCACAAACAAATCATAAATGGATACTTGGATTCTTGTTCCAAATTCCAGGAGCCACATTGTGGGAGAAAGAATAGTGTTCCTTACTTCCTCTACCTCTTTCCATTACAAGCTTTTGAACTACAAATCCTACTCTCAGTGACTTTATTACACAAAGTGGGAATATGACTATGCAGCCCTTAATAGTTACTTAAATACACTCATGAGTCAACCAGAACCTAGCCTAACTTTGCACCTTTCATAATGCCTTAATGGATGTCAGCATTCAAGGGAATACTAGTTGTGTTGTGGTCTAATTTTGCTTTTTCTTCAGGGAAAAGGAAACGATTCAAATACTCATTAGTACAGTATCTGATTTTATCAAATAAAATAGTATTAACCAAATTGTACCAAACTGCAATAGAGGCTTTTTCTACAATAGATAAAGACAGCCAGACATTAAGCATTTCTATTAAGTAAATACTAAAATATTTACATATTTATTTCTAAATAACCACACGTATACATCACTTATTTCCAAATAAACTGCTTTATTAGAAGTTCAAATGACGCAGTTTCTAATAGTGCCTAAACAATTGTAAAATTTTGAGTTTTTGCTCATACAACTGCTTTATTTGAATTTTGATTATGTAATAGTTATAACTAACTGATTAAATAAATAAACATTCATATGAATAATGCTTTAAAAATTAAATGTGAATTCAGATAAGACTTACTTTGTCTTGCATATATTCTTGGTATTCCGCATTATATTTCTTTAAAAGATCCTTCTTCAATTCATCTGTCCTTGGAAATGCAACCTCTTTCAGTTTCTTTTGGGATGGGGGGGGACGGGAGAGAAGGGAAGGAGAAATTAAAAAAAAGTTAAACTGATTTCCTGCCTTCGAAACAAAAACAAACAAAACAAACAAAAACAATTAGCTGGGAAGGAAAACCAGCTGGAATGCAGATTAAAAATGTCAAGCATTTCAAAACAAAGTTAAAAATACTAATTACAGGCATATCAAATATATAGGGTCATATCCGTACCTGTTATCAATTGGCACAGTCCATTGAAGCTATGCCAGTTTACACCAACTGAGATCTGGCCAACAGATTTCTTATAGAAAGGAAAATCACTTTTCCAACCAGTCTGAGGCACGAATGACATGTGACAAATGGCATTACTGGCTCAGGTGAAATTTATTTCTAGGTTTCAGATCAGCTTTGGCCCAGATCCTGCAACGAGCTGTCTGGGATGAGCCTAGATGGGACTCCACTCAGATGTAGGGTTCTGCTTGTGAAGAGTTCACCACAGGAATTGGGTCTTTGATAATACATGTTTCAAGACCTTAATTTAAAGTACTTAAGCATGTACTTAATCCCATTGATTAACAGAATTTAAGCACATGCTTGGTCACCCTCTCTTGAATGCTTTCCTGACAAAATAAGAATCAGAAGAAAATTATGTGGCCCAAGCCTCAAAAGGAACCTTATTAAATGTATTAAACTTACAATGACAGATCTCAACCACATGGCACTTTATATATACTTGCTTAGCTTTACTCACATAAGTACTTCTATTGAGTTCAATAGCTTGGGCCCATAGTTATTGAGGTGTTTAAATAATTCAAACAAACTGGAAAATTTAACATCAGTGTAGCATTTTGCCAGATGAATCTGAGTATATACAAATCAGTGCACTGCCCCCTTCTGGAATGACTTGGAATGCACTGTAGAATGGAAGCACGAGGCACAAGGTTCTTCTAGAAGAGACAGTTTTCCATATTTCAGTGAATATCAATGGATTATTTCAGGTGTTTTAAACTGAGGAGGGAACTAATTAAAAAGTTTATCCATTAATTAAAGCAATGATGAAACCAATATAGTACTGGAGAAATTGAGAAAAAAATTAAAAGGAAATGGAGTACATATTTTAGTGTTAAAGGAAGCAGAAAATACTTTGGCTTATCAGCACATGTTAAGGAGATAATATACAGTTCACTAATAATTCCAAATGTCCCTCCGGCATTCAGAGGTCAAGCTAGCTTCTACTGAAGTCAAGGGTCATTCACTTAAATGGAAGCAAGATGAGATCCTAAATACTTTTAAATTAAGGTATTTAAATTATATGTATCCTTTAGAATCAGATTAAACTAAGTGTCGAACAATCCATATACTATTGGCTCTGTTCAGTGATACCAATTAATTCACATTTTAGGAGCTGCAATTAAAATCCCAGCAATGATCAAGTGATTAAACTGAAATGAAACTTTGTTGCTAATGGAGCTAGTTATAAGAACTTAGTCTTGGTAGGCTGAGTTGGTTCCGAATGTACCTGTTAGTTCTGGGGAAAGAACAATTCAGTTACTGAGAGAGCAATTTGAGAAATGCCAGGAAAAAGCAAACCTACCTTCATGATATCCTGTTTTTCTGGTACTGCACATTGCTGATAGTCTCGGTGACTGGGCAGCTTTTCTACAAATAAGCTAGAAAATGAAACACACACATTTTCCCCCTTATTAGCCAAAGGAAGATCCACAACAGCTTTTATGCTGGGAGGAAAACAAGTTTTGCATATCACAGATGTTGAACACTGCATTCCAATTTGATTTATAGCAGTTTTCTATGCTTTCACAGGTTTAAACCATGTCACTGAAATTTCAGCACAAATCTTAACCCTCACTATATTATTTTCTGTAGCTGCATGCACTTTTCCTTGTTCTTTGGTAGCAATGGGTAATAACAGGACTAACTAACACATGGCACCAGAAATTACCATGCTGGGCACTAGCTAGCCTTTGTAACCAGATCTTATCAGAATCACCCTTGTCCTTCCATCCCCCTTTCACTCTGAACACACTTGTTAGGTCTTGTCTTATTTAAGATCTTCAGGCCAGTGAATTTCCTTTATTCTATGTTTGTTCGTGGATTGGAGCCTCCACAAGCTACTGCAATGCAAATAATAATAATGATAACATGGCAAAGGTGTAGGAGAGAAGGCTGCCAACAGAGGAAATCTCTGTAGAGACTTGCATTACTGCAGCCCACTTTTAACCAGACCAACCTGTGCTATAAGGTGAAACAAATTATTATATAGCACAGGCAGAATCAATCACTATTGTGCACGTAGGATGCACACTGGATACCCCCTGTTTACAGCCATCCATAGCTTTCTGAAAAGTTCACCTTCCAGACTAGAAATTTCCTGTCCCTCTCTGTTCCCAAAAGTTGCATGTGTTTGTTTAAAAACAAACAACAACAAACAAAAGCAATAATGTCTGAACAAACAAACAGGATACCAAGGTGAGGGAAATTCCCCCCCATTATTATATATTTAACTTTTTTTAAAGCTCTACCGCCTAACTGGCTGCTTAGAAAGCGTAAATCTGGTGTGGACTTAGCTCTCAATTAGGAAGTAACTGAATGTTCTAGTGAAATCTGCTTTTGATTTGATGGAGTTATGACCTTTGGGGGGTGGGGGGAGGAAATCACATGCTAAGCATGCACAGGACAATTTGCAATGGCTTATTCATTCAGGGACAGACTCGGTCTAGTCTTTGTGTGGAAGAATAGTAGAATGAGGGAGTAAAAAGCCACTCTTTTTGTGGTCTATTTGATGCGAAATTACCAAACCAATCTATCCATCAGAATCATTAAGGTAAAAAAAAAAAACCTACAGATTATTCCTTACGTTATAAATTTATTATAAAGAACAAAAGCATTCTCCAGGTTTCCTTCCTCCAGATATACAGATGCCATGCGCTCCATCTCTACTCCGGATCTAAAGTAACGACGTGGCGTAATATCCTCATTGATTGTGATGTTACATGCAAGCTTGCTTAAGGCACGTACTCGCTCCTCTGGGTTCACGGAAACATCTGTGTGGTCAGGCATAGCTGCTAACTTTTTCTGAAAAACAAGCAACACATCACAGGTTACATTTCACCTTGGATGGCTGACCCCATTCACACATGACCTTGTTCAAGACACTGAGGGAAATTTAAATTTAAATCAATAAATTAATAAAATAAAATCAATCAATCACCACAAATGTTAGTAACAATGAAAAAACTTTATCATGCTTCTTAAATAGCATTAAAAACAATGAAAAAATTATATTAAAAGCACAAAATTTTGCAACAAGATAAAGATAAAATTAAATTAACTGGAGTGAAACAAATAAAAGAAAATAAGCCTGATTTGGCAGCTTCCTAGATTTCCCAAGATATGAATTCCCATAAAGTGTCCCATTTTTATAGACATTTAAAGTATTCTACCTAGGCCTGATCTACACTTGGAACTTACACAGACACAGCTACATCTCCTAAGGGTATGAAAAATCCACAAATTGGAGAGACATAGCTATGCCATCACCCCTCCTCCCCGTGCAGACAGTGCTAGGTCAATGGAATAATTCATCTGATGACCTAGCTACCACCTCTTGGGGACATGGAGTACCTCCAGCAAGGGGAGAAGCCCTCCTGTTGGCATAGGTTGTGTCTACACTGGAAATGCTACAGCAGAGCTGTGGCTGTAGAATTTCAAGTGTAGGCAAGCCCTTACCACTGGATGTAATGTTTACTATTGGATGCAGCCTAACTGATGACAGCAGTTAGAATTTGCAGGATCACACCAGAAAAGTTCATTTCAGTGTTAACTTTACAGATTAAAGCATTCATTTACAGCTGAATAAACTAAAGCTATTTAACAGGACAGGAAGAGAAGCCAGCAAGAAAAGCCATGAACTCATGTTCTAAAAGGTTTAATACATTTTCTCTTTCATACCATTACTTAAATAATTTTGATTAGATTCCTGAATGAAACTGCTGCTGAGAAACTGCTTCATCTTATTATATTTTAAAGGCTTCAGTCTTTCAATTCAGAATGTGTATACAAACACATACCCAGAGGAAGTGCACAGTAACTAAAAGAGGGAGAAACCCAACAAACCAAATGTATTCAATATAATATTTTTAAAAAATATTTAAATTCCAGCGTGCTACACTCCATGCGAAGGGGCAGCTGGGCAGAGAATAAGGGTGGTAGCAGGAAAGGTGGTTAGAACCTTGGAAAAACCCATGAGCTGGTGGTCAGCACAACTAAACTAGTGTGGGTGGTGTCAGATAGTTTGCTGCTTTTTTGAAACTCTGGATGCCAAAGCATTAAATAACAAAATGTAATACATACCAATGAACTAACAGTGAATGGCTGTTCCATGTTGCCCACGGTCTGCAAACCAAGAAGATTACTATTTCTTTTCAATCTCTCCATCTGGTCACAAAGAACAAAATGGGAGGAGGGCAGAAAAAAAATCAATGCAATATTCAGTGTTAGCAGTAAGTTACCCCCTTCGCCGCCGCCCGCCCCCCCCCCCGGGCCCACAAGTCATGGTTTATTGGGCAAAGAGGAACTTCAGTACAAATATTCTGATTGTCACCATGTGCTAACATGAAATATGATAATGAAGTCATTTTAACTGGAAATATCTTCAAACATCTATCTATGTTCTTATGCCATGCCAAGTACCATAACAGTTTAAAATCGAACACAACACAAACAAGTCAAATTGTGCATTTTAATAAACATGTTACTACAGGTGGCCTCAGTATATAACAGTATATTAAGTAGTTTTAAAATAAATTGATCATATTTTGTTAAGTTGTAATTAAAATGATAAACTACTACTTTTCAAACACTGGGGGGGGGGGGGGAGGAGAGTCCAAATCAAAAGTTCAGAGACTAATAAGTGCATTTGTTTTTCCATCTGCATATGCCATGGTAAATGTATCTATGTACAGTGTGAATTTGAGCACTTTTTTCTAGCAGGTCTAGAATTGTAAATTAAATCAGGCAACTGTCCTACCTTAATCTGGAAACTACATGTTTAGTAACTAAAAGTATATGAAATCTTTCCAGCACTATTTGAACCATTTCTATAGCACTGGTCAATTGCAAGAAGTGATCGAAAACTGCACTCAGCATGTAAGAGATATGAGTTAGTAAAGGCAAACCGTCAGTAAAGGCAAATAGTAACAAGCAAGACAAATATTTAAAAGTGCTGCAGTGATCAGCAAAAACTGCTTCTGACAAGGAAATGATTCATTAAGTTATACTTTAATATGAATCTGAAGCTGGTAAGGTGGCTGCTCTAATTCCTAACACTTCAGTGCTCAAGCTAGAAGATTGGTCCTGAATGTCAAAGGTTTTGTGCAATATAGAAAATGCACATTACAAACATCTAAAGGCTAGACTGGTTCATCACAGAAGCCCCAGACTACGAGGAGTTGCAGCAAAGACTTAATGTGGACTTCTCCCTCTCTGGAGGCTAGTTTGAACCCTAGCAGAAATTAAAGCAGCCCCTAGGGCTGTTTTTCTGTGCCTTTTTACGAATAAAATAATTAGTTATGTTTTCTGTGACTCCATTATTTCCTGTCTTTGCTTCTCAAAAGCTAATCATATCTATTAGGTCAGCCTTTAGTTTTAACCATTATCTTAACCATTTTAGAGTCAACAATTTCATCCCAGTTATTAACTGGCCAGTTTTCTTTCTTTTTTGTTTTGTTTCCTCCTTGATTTACTTGTAAATTCCTTTACTAATCCACTTATTCCCTTTGATTAGATAACTAATTCTACATTGTTGCAGTCATTATAATCACCTAATAAGTCTTACTGACTACATATTCTTGCTTGGGTACATCCCCTTTTTCCACTGCCAGCCCTGATTCTTTTTACAATCATTGCTAGATGTGCTACGAGTCTGTGAATTGGACTTTAAGGCGTACATTTTCAAGCAGACGTGTGCAAAATACTTGCATGCTTTTGCAATGCTACTTTGAAAACTGGATCCAAAATGTAAATTTGGTTCACTCACATTTACTGTTGTATTTACACACCCCAAAATAGTTCTAGTCTAGAGATTCTAAACTTCAGCCAAATTAAAATTCTCAAGACAGGACATTAGAAACACAACTATGAAACCTGATTGTAATATGATGCTTCGTGTTTCATGTGAGAATCTCCTATTATATGTAAAAGTGAAAATGTGCTCCATATACTAACATGGAAAACTATAAGTAGTGAAATCTTTTTCAAGAATAAACCATGTTCCTGTAATGAGTTAGGTATGATTGTTCCATGAAGTGTTTCCATCCAAAGAGCGACATTAAAAAAAAATCCACGAAATTTTATAAAGCAAGAAGTTTTGCTACATGTTGCAAAGAGGGACCTTTTCTTTTACAGAACCTAGATATCAAATGCAGAAGTCAATTTATTCAGGGGAAATTTTGAATTCTGTTAACTAAAAAGATCACCTTAACATGAACAGATTTTACACAAGTGAATTTAATCATCTTCCAATCAATCACAATAGCCCTCAGCTAAGTGAGAGGGTTTTTTTTGTTTGCTTTGTAACACTAGAGACAAGCCAGTAAAGTCTCCAGATTTATTCTTCAAAGTGTTATTTTGTCATGTTTCCTGGCTCAGTCTTTACTACTGTTCAATAAGCTGTACTGTGACTTCAATGCACGGTTCTGTAATCAAATTTTAAAAAGAAGTCCATGGTAGCTGCTGGGTGCTTGGCACCTTGGAAAATCAGGCCACTGTAAGGATTTACAAGGGGCGCACACACACACACACACCCTGTATTTTGGGAAAGGGAGAATGCCAGAACACTGCCTATTCCTGGTTTGTAGAACAGACCCTTGAGGCCTCAGCAGCTGGGCACAGCAGGCTCCTTGTTCTAAAATACAGCAGGCTACTTGCTCTAAAATATATCAAGGGCTAAAGGGGCCCTTGGCCAGCTTCATGCAGACCCACTCAGCTCAGCCAGACTATTGGAACTACAGTACTGTAGCCAGTGTCAAGAATCAGGACAAAAATAATGGGAGGCAAGGAGCTCATTTTCATAAGCTTTTCTACCCCTGCAGCCCCACAGATTCCCTTGGTGGAGATGGAGAAGTATTTTTTGATCTTCAGCATGAAAGACAGAATCCAGTCCTCTTTGATTTATGTGGCACAGAAAGCAAATGCCTCTGAAGGATCAAAACTTACTACAATATATATCCATATTAAAACAAAGGGTATGAAATCATTCCCTCCTTCAATTACCGGTCAAATCCAAAGCTCAATATTTTGTGTTTTCTGTGTATCTGCACAGAATCTATAAAATGTGATCAAATCCTGAACCCAACAGTCCTTACTTAGGAAATCCCTCACTGAAGACAACAGACATTTTACCTATGCAAGTACTTCAGTGTTTCATCTATTATGCAGGAACTAATTATTAATTTTAAGTCTACCCTGCTACAGTTCTATTATTTTTCAAAAGCATTACTGTTCACTCTTTAAGGAACTGGGGAAGTGTGGAGGGGAGGGGGGGATAGAAACTGATACAGGATAGATATCAGGAATGAGCATTTACCTTAGATCAAAAATAGTATTCCCCACCCCACACAACCAACCTTAAACAAGAAGTGAAACACTCCAATAAGTCTGTTAAACAAACAAACAAAAAATTGTGCATAGGCATGTGTCTGAGATAAAATCTGCATTACAATGAACTGATTGAGTGATAAAATAGATTAAATTTCATTTTAAAAACATCTTTCTCCTTATAAAATGTAAAAGTTTATTAAAGAAGTGGCCGGTTCAGGAGAAGGACAATCTTTTCATAACTAGGTTCCTGGTCTGAATCCAACATGGGTCAGTGGTGACAATGTACCCCCACAGCTTTAACACTTTCCCCCACTCCTACTAGCCAGGCTGAAACATACTGGTACCCTGAGCCACACCCCCTACTGCCCCATCTCTCATTGGTCAGGTATCACCCATTCCTTTTGCCCAGAGCTCCCAGTCTCCGGAGGGCTGAACACTGAGCCAACCATAATGCCAACCACCACTAAATGAATCAATCAGTGCTGCTCTGCCCCCACCCAATAAATCATTTTATGTTGGCCTCACATGTGGAACCCTCTGCTGAAGAAGAACAGAGGTTCCCCCCTTCCTGGATCACACCACAGTCCATTCTCAAACAGGAAGCAGTCGGCTGTGGAGCAGGAAGGCCACCAATGATGGGCTCTTTGTCTGCCACCATCCCAGAAGAGGTCTCTGTTGGGACAGGGTCCCCCCCATACAAACAGATTCCTCTTTCAGGGAGGCACAAACACCCATCAAGGAATTCCCCCCCTCCCCGCCCCAACCTTCCCAGCATGCCTTAACACTAACAGTACAAAAGTTTAAGTTAAACGGTTACATCTGCCTCATTAATGTCTTTAAAATAAAGAAGTGTTAATAGGAAATAAAGTTCAATTACAAATTCAGGCATATTAAGAGGAGACATCTGCTGGCAGCAGAAACTCACACTTCCTCAAATGATGCACTGGTGTTTGTGAAAGCCTTGTAGAGCAAACTCCTGTACGTATGCACACCGTGCCAAGATACAGCAAAAGAGGTTAGCAGAAAAGTCAAGACAAATAGTGAAGCACTTGATTTAAAAAAAAAAACCCTCATGGATTCCAATGTAGAAGGCAATTTGGGTTGGGGAACAATATTTAAAATTGATACAATAAATACAGTACTAGGACAAACTTGACATTTTTGTAAAAATTTACTGTAAAAAGACACAAATGTTATGCTTAATACCACACACAGCACAAACAAAAAAAATATGGCTACAAAAGCACTGGCATGTTTTATAAGGATTCTAATATGCTTTCTGACCAATGTATCCAAGTGTAACGAATAATGAAGCTACTACTATTATATAGAAGATTAAGATTCTTAAAAAAAAATGACATTGGCCAGCTTTGTTTGCATTTGCACATGAACGTGTTATATGTTTGTACAGTGCACAGCAAAAGAAATACCCTTATCCTGATTAGGGCCTCTAAGTGTTATTGAAATACAAGCTAATAATAAGAGTAATGAAGTACTTTACAGGATCAAGGAGAAATTTAAATGTGTAATCCTTTTGAGTGAAATGGAATGTAGTTTTATTCATTTTTCAGATATAGAAAACAATTATGTTAATATGTAAAACCAGGGTGGATAAAAATCAATGATTTTTCTTAAAAAAATATTTTTTTTATTTAACTTGGATTTTTCTGATAAAATGCTTTTTGAGGAAAACACCTATCTAAAGATAAAGATTCATTATAGCTCAATGATATCTCATCATAGAATAGGCATTATAAATTCTAATTCTATAGTATGAGACAATATATTCATGTAATATTTAAGAAAAGTTTTGTAAATGAGTTCCAATAGTTCATGGA